TAACCTTGAAATATCTTGTTTTTGTCGGACTTGTAAGATTTTGGTTATGTTCAAGTATAACTGATTTAATTTCCTATTTGCATTCACCATTCAAAGCTGCACTAATTTGACTCTTACAATCTGTTTTGGCAACAGGTTGTTTTTTCAAGGTATTTCTGGACTTATATCTCTCCTTTCTAGAACAAGAACATACCACTATCACATATCTCATCTCTCCATCTTCGCCATTCTTTGACGTACGTATCATTGCTTCAAATCCCATTTTGTTACCATACCGTTTATAATACTTCACCAGACTATCAACTGAATCAAACATCATTCCAATATGAGGCTCAACTTCTTCCTTTGTACATCCCATATCTTCTAATTCATCACGTTCATTTTTCTGATTTAATAGTTTTATAATACATAAAATTAGAATGTACTAATGCAACACATCAAAATAAACAATACCATACAATAAATTTAAAATCATGTTAACGAAAAAGTAGGATTCAAGCACAATTTACCTCAACATCATTGAAATGAGGCAAACTGGACTCTTCCATATTCTGAGGCAAACTGGACTCTTCCATATTCTGAGTCAAACTGGACTCTTCCATATTCTGTAATTTAATGCAAGTCCAATACTAGTGTTCATGTTCACGAAATCTAATTCATAACAATCTCCAACAAATTTTCTCTATCAGTTTTTTTCTATTGTAACATATATTCAATCCAAAATATAATACAAAACTAAATAAATGCATAAGTTATATAAAAATTTCCATTGTAAAAAACTAAATAAATGCATAAATTATATAAAAATCGGTTATTAACCTGGATAAATCTTTCTAATCTCCCTTTCCACTGTAAAAAATGGCTATGGTTTGATGAAAAGTTTATAGCTTTCGTTCTTCACACGGTAGCTGGAAAATGAGGAAAAAAACATTTGTTGCAAGAAGAAATGGCTGAGGAATGCAGATGCAACACAGAGGCGAAGAACAGACGACAACGATGAAGCAGAAGGGGATGACGAATTTTGGCGTTGGTTTTCTTTCGCTAGAAGAATTTTAGCGCTTGGTGTTGGAGAAGCGTATTGGAGAAGTTAATGTAAACAAAAAAAATTTATTAAAAAAACATTTATTTTTTTTAATTTTAATTACATTAAAGGACGGGCGTCCCTTCCGTATGGATGCCCGTCCACAGTGAAGGGACGACCATCCAATGTTTAAATTTTTTTTTTTTTTTAAGAATTACTTTTGAATGAGCATCCATTACTTACGGACGCCCATCCACAATAAAAGGACAGTTGTCCACAATTTGTGGACGGCCATCCATCGTTTTTATTTAGATTTGTAAAAGCAAAATAATGGACGGGCGTCCATTACTTACGGACGCTCGTCCACAGTGAAAGGATGGCCATCCATAATTTTTGGACGGCCGTCCAAAGAGTTTTTTTTTTTATTTGTAAAAGCAAAATAATGGACGGGCGTCCATTTCTTACGGACACCCGTCCAAAAGTAATGGATGACCGTCCACAATTGGTGGACGGGTGTCCCCAAAGATTTTTTTTTTTTCATATTTGGGTGAAGGACGGTCGTCCATTATTTGTGGGCGCAGGTCCAAAAGTAATGGACGACCGTCCATAATGGATGGACGGCCGTCCCTAATGTTTAACAAATTTGTTTAATTGTATTTTAATCAGGGATGAGTGTCCTTTAAATGGGGACGCCTGTCCATATGAGTGAACGACCATCCAAATTTGATGGACGGCCGTTCACTAGAAAAAAAAATTGTTAAAAAAAATCAGAGGCGTGTTACACGTAGGCTGGTACACATTTTCGGTGCAAGTTTTTCGGTGTCCGTAGCTTTGTTGAGCATAAATTAATTCTCTTGCTTGCCTACATTAGTGTGCAATTGGATATGTGGATGCCTATAATTTTGAATTTAGACCATCAGTTACCTATCATGGTTGATGCAGCTTTAGAGCAAATGAAATTGACAAAAATGTGGTTTAATTGCATGTATGTGCATCAATGAGAGGTCTGGTTGTGTATTCTATTGTGTGTGTGGAGTGTGGATAGCCTGGGTATGGTTAGGAGAAGGCTGGGTTGTGGGCTGGTTTTTCTGCTGCTGGGTTTGCGCTTGTCTTTTTGCTGTTGGTGCTAGGCACTTCTTGTGTTGTGTTGGGCTTGCGCTTGTTTGGGGACATGAATCTGCAAAATTAAGAAGTGTTTTAAAAACCAGTTAACCAGTGAACCAAACCGAATATTAGGTTCGATTCAAAACCAGTTTAGTAATATAACTGGTTCGGTTTTGGTTCAGGTTTTTGTCTGAACCGAAAAACCAGTTTGGTTTATAAATGACATATCCGATTCGATTAACTGGATTTTCCCACCCTTAGTTGGGACTAGTGAAAGGCGATGAAATGAGCCAAGGAAAGTGTTTGATTTGGGACGAGGGCGATGAATCCTATTGATTTGGATGAGAAGTCCAACAGGGATCCGAAGAAACAACTAGCAACACCGTCAACAATGGTGGTGAGTTGAGAGAAATGGGAGGCTATGGTTGTGAGAGAAATTTGAGATGTAGAGGATTATTTTAAAATTTTCATTTTCATTTCAAATTTAATGCAATACAAATGACCTCTTTACCCTTTAACCATTACATTAAACAATTTTCTATTAATTTAAGGGTGGGAATCTAGAATAAATGAAACTAGGGGTAAGAGCATGTCGTTTACTCATGTATTTCGTAAATATCTATGTATAACATATTGATCCTAAATTTTATCTCTATTTAAAAACAGTGAGAAACGAGGGTAAGGTGAATGTGATTTGGATTTTATTTGTTGGCTAAGATAAGGCTAATGAGAGAATCTTACATTTAGTAATTGAGATCTAGCATGGTATGTTGCAATAAAAGCACCAACATCATAATTTAATTTGATATCCCATATATAGATTACAACTTTAATTAACTACTCCCATAATTACATTAAAGCTTTAATTAACCATATTTGATTAATTGATAATGCCAATTCCATTTATGTGCTCAGTGATAATGGAGCATTGAAACTTCCGCCTTCATTTTTGAATCAAAACTTTGGTGGACCAATGTTATCTAAAAATATCAGTTACATTCACGTACGTCGTCGTCCGGTGATAACTTGGTATGAATTGGGTCGCTTAATATTGGTAGCCTAGGATTTAATACAAGTGTTCAAAGATAGTCTAGGATTCAATAATTTATCGTAAAAAATAATAAACTCTGAAAGGAAGTACACTCATTTTGTAAATTTTGTTTTCAAACTGTTGTGCTTCCGTAGGCATATTTGATCAATTTTATTTCAAAAAGTATTCTACAAATTAACAATAAAAAATTAATGAATAAAACCAGTTAAAAAAATGAAGCATTATATTCGTTTAATCGAAAATTTATTATATTTTATGATATTTTTTACCTGTATTCTCTAATCAAGAAGTCTTGATATTTTATTAGTAGGAGAGGGATATTTAAAGAACATTAAGAGAAAGTTAAAAAATGAAGCATTATATATTTGTTTGGCTTGACTAAATCAAGCATATGTAATTTTCTCTTTCTTTTTTCTTTTTATCTTTTAGATGACTGGAGCGACTTTATTGAAGGAGATTATCCAACGATAGTAATAATAAAATGTTTTATTTACATCCAACACCCTTTTTTTTTTTTTCTTTATATCTTATCTCTAAGAATGAAAAGAAGAAAAACCAGCTCAGAAAGTATCAGCGCCACAGCATCCCGGAGTTGGCAATATATTATTATAAAAAATAAAAAAATAAAAAAAAATAAAAAGAGGTGGGGTGGGATGGGGGGCAATACATGTTGCTAAATAACTTACTTGTAAGGATTGCATGAATTAAAGATTAAATTACCAAATAAAAGAATCAAGACACTACTTTAATTCCTGCTCCCATATCGTAATGATTTTCCTGTCTATGGGAGATCGATATAGCAAGGAAATCACAACATCATATTATACTTAAAACCTTTTTTCCAAATTCTTTATATATATAGAAGAAAAAACAATGTATGATGGACTGAGGTTTTAAAAAAAAAAAAAAAAAAAAAAAAAAAAAAAAAAAAAAAAAAAAAAAACTATTTCTTTATCATATTTTTCTTGAGAATTATCATAGCTTTTATGATCTGGTAAAGAAAAAAATGGTCTATCTGGAACGAATCAAATGGATTAAGTCAACAAAATGAGAGTTTAATAACTTTTATTGGGTAAATTCCACTATCTGCGGTAGGAAAATATGCATTAGCTCAATCCTGCAATAGACTAGTCAGATGACTCCGTTCAACTTTTTGTTATTATTTGCTAATTGCTAGTCATGAGATGCCATAACCCACATAAATAAATTGCATTAGCGTGTGTTCTATATTACTTTTATGGTTAAAATGAATTGGATAGCTTAAGAAATAAGAATTTATTTCTTAACACATGCCAGTCTTTGCATAATTCACATAAAACAATAAAAAAATAGATATACTAGTCTTACAAAGAGGTATACAAAGAGACAAATCAAACCCTTAAAATTTATGATTGCCTCTCTCTCTCTCACTTTTTCCTTTCTTTTAAGGACTTAATTTATCTCTTTGTATACCTCTTTGTAAGGTTAGTATTAGTCTACAAAAATTTTAATACAAGTCGCCAACCAATCAGCCTTGGCGTCATTCTTCTTTCTAATTCTATTTTTTGTGTTGATCTGTTGACATTAATTTGATTAAGCAAGATGATGTCTTGCTGAGCAAGAGTAGCTTTTTAATTTATTTTTCTCGAATCAAGTTATCTTTTAATCTTTTTAAATTTTCAAAAGAAAAAAGAATTCCACTTTAATCTCAACAATATCTCTTCCTTTGAAAGCTAGCACGCATACACACTACTTTTCTGCAAACCTAAACTCTGAGAGTCATTGCTTTTCTTATGCCTTCAACAGAGATGAGTCATGCAACGAAAAAGCTAGATTCACCTGCTATGTTTAATATTCCCTTTAAATATCAACACAATCGAGACCATTTACACAAAGCAGTTGGGCAGACAACCACAAAGGCAGTAGTCAAATATAGAGGGACAAGTTATGAGGACTATTGCATTTAGCTCGATGCCATACTCAGTGAAGACGTCTTGTATGAGATACTTGACCTGAATCTGCTGCACAATTCCGTAGTCATGATCCATCTGCAAACGGGTCTCCGATGTTTAAGCAAAGTAAATCTTTCTTTCTCTGTATATAGTCTCTACGAAATTTGTATATGCGTATTGATGATCTTACGGGATCGATCCTAATGAAGGTGTTTTAGTAACAGAATAATCTTTTGATATTGCAGGAAAAGTAGATTCTGTTCTTAGAACAATGAACAAGCTAGGTAAGAAAGCTGATAATTTTGCAAACGGAGTTAGAGAACATGGTAAAAAACTTATTTTGCTTAATTAATTTACTTATAAGTGGCATGCATAAAACTAAATGCATTTTAACTGCTATGAAATTGTAGTGAGACTGGCGCCAAAGATCACTGAAACTGTGAAGGGGAAGTTGAGTTTGGGTGCAAAAATTCTGCAATTAGGTGGAGTGGAGAAAATATTCAAGCAGCTCTTTAGTGTGAGAGAAGGAGAGAAATTGTTGAAGGCTTCTCAATGCTATTTGTCAACTACTGCAGGCCCGATAGCAGGCCTCCTCTTTATCTCCACAGATAAGGTAGCATTTTGCAGTGAGAGATCACTGAAATTCTATTCTAAGAATGGAGAAATTGTTAGAGTTCATTACAAGGTAATAATTAAATCTCACGTCTCATGCATTTTAATCTATTTTTGTTTCATATATTTTTCTTTCTAGTTTCAAAATAATATTTTTTTCAATCCTGTGTATAGGTTTTGATTCCACTTGAGAAAATAAAGAGAGTACACCAAAGCTTAAATATGAAGAAGCCATCACAAAAGTACATGGAAATATGCACTGTGGACGATTTTGACTTCTGGTTCATGGGTTTCTTAAACTATGAGAAGGCTTTCAAAAACCTTAAGCAGGCTATCTCCCAGAACATGGATGATGTAAAAGTCACTTACTTGTTGACTTAGAAATCTTTATTCTTGTTTGATCCAATATCAGATTATGTAAATTAATTAATGAAGTGAGGAAATGTCAATACGGAATTAATTGTGTAATATTTTTGTAATGAAAATAAGATTTTCATTTCAGCTGCCAATGCATTATTTATGTTGGCTATGTTTCAGTTTGGAAAGAGTGCAAAAACATGGTAAATAATATCCACTTTTTCTCTGCAGAAGAGATACAGCAGGGAGAGATCCTAGATATTGGCTACTACTAGTCTACTAGAGCTAACTATTATTTGAAAACAAAATCAACAGTCCCATATCCATGGGCTCATTCTCTAATAATATTCATACCACAATAAGTTGATATATTTTGGAAAAATTAAATCTAGACTAAACTGAAGTATAGTGGCTATAGCAAAGCTGATTCTGGCGTTGACATCCATCTCTTCATGTTTTTTTCGCCCAAGCGACATTCTATGCGTTAGAAGTATAACTCATAGAAACTTAGTCTTTCACTAAAGACAACTTTGTAACTTTACGTGTTTAATGTTGGGTGTGTTATTGTAATTATAATCTATAGACTATATCTATCTATATATTTATATAATCCTAAGACATACCCTATTTGATTGTCATGTAGGGTTTTTTAAGCTTTAGAATTGTTTTATTTTGACATATTGGAAGATTATCCCACATGTGACTGTACGTGATTAGTGATGATACGGTATTTTTACATTTAACTGTATATGATTGGTGATGATGTGGGATATGTAGATGAATTGGATTTTTTGATACATGTGACTTAATGTAACTGGTTGGTGGATGTCCCTTCACATTCACATCAACACAAACGCTTCACATTCACGTTCATTCACAATTTCATATTAAATATACGTTTAAAGGGAATGTGAAGCTTGATTGTTTAAACAAGATGTTGAAGAATAAAGAAGAAGTTAATTAACTGAGTTGTTAGTTGTTAAGCTGAGTTAGTTAGCTGTTAAGAAGTTAGTTTCAAGTAGTTATTAGTTTGTTATAAAGTTAGTTAATTAGTTGAGTTTGTTAACGTTTGTTAAGTTTGTTGTAAGATTGCTCTATATAAAGCATACACTGCTGTAACTCTGTTTCTAAATTCAAAATGAATTCAACATCATTTTCCCATATCTGATTTAGTTTCATCATGGTATCAGAGCATTTTTGCTTCCTTTAAAACACAAACTTATCTTTTCCTTCCAAATTTTTTTTTCTACTTTCTGCACTCTATCAATGGCGGCCTTAACCTCCAATTCAACGCAAGAAATTTCCAATCCCTATTACCTTCATCCTAATGAAAATCCTGCTGTTGTTTTTATTTCTCCCGTTCTTGATGGTCCCAATTATCATACCTGGGCATGAGCTTTGAAGATGGCATTTCTATCCAAAAATAAATTGAAGTTTGTTGATGGCTCCATTAAAGCCCCTGCACCCACTGATTCTTTGTTCTCTGTCTGGGAAAGATGCAATACTATGGTACTTTCTTGGCTTAATCATTCTCTTTCATTATCCATTAGTAGTAGCATCTTATGGATAGATAAAGCTTATGATGTATGGGATGATCTTCAAGAATGTTTTTCACAAGGAGATATTTTTAGAATTTCAGATTTACAAGAAGAGATTTATGGTTTTAAACAAGGGGATCGAAGCGTTACCAATTACTTAACCGAATTAAAAATTCTTTGGGATGAGTTGAAAAACTTAAGGCCACTTCCTACATGTACCTGTGCAACACCTTGTTCTTGTAAGTATCAGAATAGTGATTATGTCATTCGGTTTCTTAAAGGTCTTAGTGATCAATTTACTGTTGTCAGAACTCAAATCATGCTCATGGATCCACTTCCTCCAATCACAAAGTTTTTTCTTTAGTTTTACAACAAGACAGACAAATAGTTTTGGAGTTGCTAAAGTGTTTGTTAATAAAGCTGTTAAAGAAAATTCTCAGGCTAACAAATCACAGAACACTCGGCGGTTCAACCCAATAAATTCATAGCACAATGGAGATAATCGGTTTTGCACATTCTGTGGCAAACCAAGACATACTGTTGAAACTTGCTATAAAAAGCATGGTTTTCCACCTGGTTATAAGTCCAAAAGTCATAATCCCACTGCTCATAATGTAATTGTAGAAGAAAATGGCACAAATCTTTCTATGCAGTCCGATGCTACTGTCAATAGTCAAGAAGGTTCTGGTCTTTCTTTGATCTCAAGATCAATACCATCAATTGCTTGCTTTGCTCCAATCATCTAATTCTGAGCAACCATCTCATGTGACTAACCAAGTTGTTGTTTCTCAAACTCAGTCAACCCTTACATCTCATTTTTCTTCAGTTCCAGGTAACCATTTTGCTTTAACTTGTGCTAAATCTTCATTATGGATTGTAGATACAGGTGCAACAAATCACATTACCCATTCTTTATCTTCCTTTGATAGCTATAAGCAAATCAAACCAATCTTAGTCATATTACCGAATGATTCTAAAATCACTGCTCAATATTCAAGGGTTGTAAGCCTCACTGAAAAATTGGTTCTTACAAATGTACTTTATATTCCTGAATTTTCCTTTAATCTGATATCTGCTACAAAATTAACCTCCTCACTAAATTGTTGCCTGATCTTGCAACACTCTTATTGTTTAATCCAGGATTTGACTTTGTGGAAAACGATTGGTTCAGCTAAAGTGCATGATGGCCTATATGCAATGACAAAATCTTCTGTTTCTGTAGCCAGCCTGTACAATCCCCGTCTGTCTCTTTAGCATCAAGTACTGCATTATTTGATATATGGCATTATAGACTTGGCCACATATCTGATTCTAGAATAAAATACTTAGCTTCTTGTATTCCTAGCCTTAAATATCATGACAATAAAGCTTGTACCATTTGTCATTTGGCTAAACAACCAAGGTTACCCTTTCCTATGAGTCATTCCAAAACTTCTAAATGCTTTGATATGATTCATGTTGATATTTGGGTCATTATTCAATATGTTCTATTCATGGTCATCGGTTCTTCTTAACTATTGTGGATGACTATTCTAGATTTACATGGATTTATTTGATCAAACAAAAATCAGAAGTTAGGCAACTTGTTCAGTCATTTTTTGCTCTCATAGAAACTCAATTTTCAGCTAAAATAAAGACCATTCGCACTGATAATGGTGCTGAATTTATAATGCCTCATTTCTATGCCTCAAAGAGAGCCTATCATCAAACAACATGTGTTGGGACACCCCAACAAAATGGTGTGGTGGAGCGTAAACACCAGCACATTCTAAATGTTGCTAGATCTTTACTTTTTCAGTCTAATTTGCCTAAAGAATATTGGACCTATGCAGTACTTCATGCTATTCACCTCATCAACAGAATTCCTTCTCCTATCTTGCAAAATAGATCACCATTTGAACTTTTATATCAAGAATCTCCTCATTATGATTCATTAAAAATATTTGGCTGCTTGTGTTTTGCTTCCACTTTACAAGCTCACAGAAACAAGTTTGATTTTAGAGCTAGGAAGTGTCTCTTCTTAGGATTCCCATCTGGTACTAAAGGATTTGTTTTATTAGACTTGCATTCTAAAGATATTTTTCTCTCTCGTAATGTCTTCTTTTACGAATACATTTTCCCTTTTTCAAAACCTGCAGATTATTCAGTATCCTTACCTCAAAATTCAACAATTTTTTACTCAGATCCTTGTCCTCTTAAAGACACCTCCTTATCAACATCATCGTCATTACCACCTGATAACTTTTCCTCTACTGATTCTCCTATCCCTTCTCCTGTTATACCACCTGACCGTAACTCTAAAAGATTGAGAAAGCCTCCTTCATACTTAAAAGATTATCATTGCAATATGGTCACTGCACCTAAACCTTCGTTTCCCCAGCCAGGTACTACTTATCCCTTATCTTCTATTCTTTCTTATTCCAAACTTTCACCAAATCAGCTTCATTTTACATTAGCTGTTTCAACTACATTTGAACCTAAGACTTATGCACAAGCCATTAAACATAACTGTTGGAGACAAGCCATGCAAACAGAAATTACTGCCCTTGAGCAGAATCACACTTGGACACTCACAGAGCTCCCTCTTGGCAAGTCCCCAATTGGTTGCAAATGGGTGTTCCGTGTTAAGCATAAAGCAGATGGTTTAATAGAGCGTTACAAGGCTCGGTTAGTAGCCAAAGGCTATACTCAAACTGAGGGTATAGACTATTTTGATACATTCTCACCGGTGGCCAAAATTACAACTGTTGGATTGCTTCTTGCTTTGGCTGCTGCTTCTCATTGGCATCTTAAGCACCTTGATGTCAATAACGCTTTTCTCCATGGAGATTTACTTGAAGAAATATATATGGTATTACCTCCTAGTTTTAATTCTTCAAATCCTAGCAAAGTTTGCAAGCTCCAAAAGTCCCTTTATGGACTTAAACAGGCCAGCAAACAATGGTTCTCCAAGCTTACTTCTGCCTTAGTTTCTTGGGTTACACACAATCTTCATCAGATTATTCTCTCTTTGTTAAATATTCTACTTCTTCTATAACAGTGTTGCTAGTATATGTAGATGATGTTATACTAGCAGGTAAAAATTTAGCAGAAATTGATGCTGTCAAAGCTTATTTAGATGATGCTTTTCAGATTAAGGATCTTGGTGACTTAAAATATTTTCTTGGCTTAGAGGTGGCTCGTTCCCAGTCCGGTATTACATTATGCCAAAGAAAATATGCTCTTGACATTCTTTCTGATGCTGGATATTTGGCTTGTAAGCCTACCCAAACTCCAATGGACTACACTTGTAAACTCACTCAAACTATTGGTGATCCCTTATCTGATCCCTTATCTGATCCCTCTTCTTATAGAAGACTGGTTGGTAGACTATTATATTTGACTTCTACACGGCCTGATTTGTCTTTTGCCGTTCAACAACTTAGTCAATTCCTTGACAAGCCTACATCGGTTCACCAACAAGCTGCTCATCATGTTCTTCGATATATAAAGAGTTGTCCTGCTTATGGTTTATTTTTTCCAACTGAATCATCTCTTTCCCTCAAAGCTTTTAGTGATTTCGACTGGGCTGGATGTTTAGATTTCTCAGAAATCTATCACAGGTTCCTGTGTTTTCCTTGGCTCTTCCTTGAT